GNNNANNNTNTNNNNTTTTTTTTTTTTTTTTTTTATTTGTTAATAATTACTGTTATTGTCAATTATAATAATTTTCACGCAACATTAACTGACGGATTTTTATTTATATTTTATTTTACGTCGTTTCAGGATAGCAACTCTCTAGTGGAGTTAATTATGGAATTAGGATATAGTTTTACAAGTAATGTAGAAGAATGTAAAGCAGCATTAGCTGGCTTAAGTGCTAGGGAGATAACTCCCACGTGTGCTGCTCGTGTACTGGCGCTTATGGCTCGCACATGGACGAACCTTGACGATGCCGGAGGTCTGCAATCATTTTGGGGCAATTCGGGAACCTCGCAGGATTCCAATAAGGAAAAATCATCGGACAGTACTCCTCCTACAACGTGGAACGTCGAAGTGTTTGTTCAAGCTTTAAAAGAACTTGTAAGTGTACGCAACAATTTTGTTTTTGCTCGCAATCAATTCTAAGTAGCGAAGCACTTCCATTAGTAAAACTTTTTGTTTATTATTACAAATGTTCTGTATATAGATTACTTCGAATCGTACTTACCGTGGCTACAATTAATTATCATCCGTTTGCACATTTCAGCATTCTACATTGTCTTGGAACGAAGTTATTGTAAAATTAGATCACGCGGAGTTTACTATTAAGGATAGACAAGGTTTAAGCATATTAATTACGGGCCTCAAATTGGGTCTCCAGCATCAGGGATATCCTCCTGACATGTTTCCCGTCGAGCTCTTTTATCGGCACTGGGATAATGTTGACGGTCAATTTTCTCTAATTCAACAAATTCTCAAGCATCCCGATATATTTTGCTTCGCTGACTATCCGTACCATTCGGTGACCGTCGATGTACTGAAGGCAGCTCCCGAAAGTGATAGCAAGGAAGCGCAAACGTGGCGATCGTTAAATATCGTTGAATTGTTTCTGCACATGGCCGAGAGAGGTTTATACGCTCCCGTGCAGGAAATATTTAAGTGGCCAATTCAACACTGTCCAGATGTACTCGTATTGGCGCTACTGCAGATAAATCAACCTATTACACTGTTGAGACAAGAAATATTCAGCTCACTTCTGCCTATCTTTCTCAACAATCATCCAAACTCTGCTGTGATATTGCATCATGCATGGCATACAAATAACGTCAAAATAAAGACGCTCATTATGCATGCTATGGCGGAGTGGTACATAAGAGGAGATTATGATCAAACGAGATTGTCGCGTATATTGGATGTAGCACAAGATTTGAAAGCTCTTTCCGCTCTACTTAATGCTCAGTCATTTCCGTTCGTCATCGATCTGGCGTGTTTAGCGTCTCGACGAGAATATTTGAAACTAGAAAAGTGGCTGACAGACAAAATCAGAGATCATGGCGAACTTTTTGTCGCGGCATGCGTCAAGTTTCTGCAAAGACGTTGTCCGCAAGTTATGGGTCCCGGTGTAAAAGAAGATCTCACGGTTCCCAAGGCGAGTCAATTACCTCAAGAAACGCTCACAACGATGCTAGCCTGTTTGCAAGTTTGTGCCGGGTACGTTCTCTTTAGAAAATATACGCGGCTTGTATCAATATTCAATTATTATTTGTGAAATTTATAAAAGCTAATATCAACGTTGTTCGTTATAGGACTGTTTCCCAAGAACTTGCTGATGTAATAATGACTATGGTGCAAACTTGTAGTCTAATGTTAAGTAAAAGTACAATGAACAGACCACCGCCACCAGGAGTTCTGAGGCATCGAGCATTAGAACCGTTCAACCCAGCGACCTTAGGAAGTCAGGTATTTAAATCATTTTTCTCTCTCATCGATTTTTACATTCCTTTTTCTCTCTCTTTAAATTTTATTCTTTATTATTTTGGTTACATTTTCGCAGTTGTTCTCCTCGAAGCAAGTAGATCCTCTTGGAAATCTCAGTACAAGTCTCGCTTCCATGGGCCTTAGTACGGGTCTTGGACCTCCGAGTAGTTCCGCGTTCAATTTGCCTGGCGGATTAGGACCTCTGGTGTCAGCGCCTGGGTCTCCGTCACGACTCATGGGACCCTCACCAAGTCCGTTTCCAATGTTACCGTTATCGTCGCAGCTTCACTCCGGTCCGGTCAATACTACGGGACCTTCTGTAATTCCCGGTAGTACAATTAGTGGATTAGCCCGTCTTGGTGGACCACCAGCGGGTATTGAGAAAACAAGAATTCCGGAAACCTCGAATTTACTCTCGGACATGGGACAAAATGTGTCTAAAGAAGTGGAGGATGAAGCGAACGGTTACTTTCAACGTATATACAATCATCCGCCGCATCCAACTTTGTCTATTGACGAGGTTCTCGACATGCTGAAGAAGTTTCAAGATTCGTCCGCCAGAAGGGAAAGAGAAGTGTTTAATTGTATGCTACGCAATTTATTTGAAGAATATAGATTTTTTCCACAATATCCCGAGAAGGAGTTGCAGATAACGGCGCAATTGTTTGGTGGGATTATTGAAAGAGGTCTTGTTAATAGTTACATGACTCTCGGTTTGGCATTAAGATTTGTCCTCGACGCACTTAAAAAACAAGAAGGCAGTAAGATGTACTATTTCGGTATAACGGCCCTGGATCGGTTTAAAAGCCGTTTGAAGGATTATCAAACTTACTGCGAACACGTTAGAACAATACCGCATTTCAACGAATTCCCACCACACTTGATAGAATACATCGAATACGGACTGCAAGGCCAGGAACCACCGTCGAGGCCACAGGGCTCGGTACTGCCCAAGACTTTAGCGGCCATGTTGGCACCCCCAATCACGACTCCGTACAAGACCATAACCACGACCACCATCACAACTACCACCACGCAGGCAAAATCGTCTACCACGACTCCCACTACGTCCATCTCGGCTAGAGTGAGTTTGATAATTAAAAATTTTCTTTATTAACATTTAAAGAACTTTATTTCCCGCGTAACAAAAGCGCATTTGCTTTCGCAGCCTTCTATGCCTTCGGTCGCTAACGCAACCAACATCGATACATTGCTCGTTGCAACTGACAAAGAAGAAAAGATCACGACGCCACCGGAAGCTCTGCAAGACAAGACAGCCTTTATCTTTAACAATCTCAGCCAATTAAATCTACAACAGAAATGCGACGAGATTCGCGAAATTGTCACAGAAGAATATTGGCCGTGGATGGCGCAGTATCTAGTAATGAAACGTGCCAGTATAGAATTGAACTTTCACGCGCTGTACTCGAATTTTTTAGACTGCATAAAACTGCCTGATGTCAATAAAATGGTCACGAGAGAGACCTTTCGAAATATTAAAGTACGTGTGCAAAAATAATATATTACGAAACAATTTTATCTATCTGGTAATTTTTCTTTGTTCATTCTTAACCTTTGTGTAAATTTTTATTGTGTCTCAGGTTCTCTTACGAAGTGACAAGGGGATAGCCAATTTCTCTGATCGGTCGTTGTTAAAAAATTTAGGACATTGGCTCGGAATGTTGACGCTCGGCAGGAATAAGCCTATTTTACAGGTATACACGCGCGCGCGCACATTATTCTATTCGTCTACAGTAACCTCGTATACGCATTGTATTAATTTTGCTTTAATTATCTTAACAGATAGACATAGATCTAAAAAGTTTACTCGTTGAAGCGTATCACAAAGGGCAGCAAGAATTGCTGTACGTAGTACCTTTTGTAGCAAAAGTGCTCGAAAGTTGCGCAAAAAGTCGCGTATTTCGCCCACCTAATCCATGGACCATGGCCATTATGAATGTTCTAGCTGAGTTGCATCAAGAACCAGATTTAAAATTAAATTTGAAGTTTGAGATAGAAGTACTGTGCAAAAATTTAAGTATTGATGTTGGGGTAAGTGTTGCTCTACGTTCGATTTCAGCTGTGCTTAATTTATAAATTGACAATCTAAGTAATCTCTCGACTTTGTGCGCGTGTGTATAGGAACTAAAACCAATCATTTATCTGAAAGATCCCGAAAAATTGCGCAATCTGGAATATCAATTGTCGCACCCGAACAAGAAATCGGAGACAACCAATAATCAACAGCCACCTCAGCAAGGGCCTATAGAGGAATTGGTTGGATCGACGACAACCGGCGCTATCAATCCTCAATCCGCGCCTCCCGTGAACACAACACCCTCGTTGCCGACTGGTCCGCCCGAACCTCGATTCAATTATATGGATATATCAGTAACAGGAATCGCTAATATATCCCAACATATTACCATCAACAATCAAGTATGGGATAGCTTTTTTATGGTTATTCTCATACAAATTTTTATTGTTATTTTCATTGGACATGTATTAGAAACAATAGAAACAGTAGGATGATATCGCAAAATCGATTGTAGAATAGATCTAATGATAGAGAGTTAATGATCAAATCATGTAAGCCAACAATTATTATTACATATTGTTGGACAAAAGATGGACGGCGCACGCAGTAATTGTTATACGTGCGTTGTCTTCGAATTTTTTTTTTTTTTAAACAATGACAAATTTATTTTAGAGATATATAAAGAATTGCAAATAAATGGAACATCAGAGAATTTGAAGTAGCTCTCGTAAATTTTAATGATTGAATATTTTTCAAATATTAAAATAGTTCTATATTGTATTTGTAGTTCTTTTATATGTGATCTTTTATACTTGTGATCGAATACTGTAAACGCAAATTTAAAAAATAACTTTGCAACATGTAACTTAATTTAAAACAAAGATCTATCTAAGTTCGTGAATGTGTGTTGTTTTTCAGTTACCACTATTTCAAACCCATCCTCATTTGAAGCAGTTTGTTCGTCCTGCGGTTGAAAGAGCAATTCAGGAATGGATTCATCCTGTTGTTGATAGATCTATAAAGATCGCTCTTACAACTAGCGAACAGATAGTGAGAAAAGATTTTGCATTGGATCCGGACGAGATGAGGATGCGAACAGCGGCTCGTCATATGGCGCGCAATCTGACGGCTGGTATGGCTATGATCACCTGTCGCGATCAGGTAAGTGTAACGGAGCAAATGCGTCGTGTCGTAAAATTGATTAAAAACATGCCGCAACAAGGCAAGGTCGTGAAATTATGCTTAGGCGCTCATCGCACACATGTTGAATTGTTTAATAATTTTTGCATCTCCGTACACACAGATCCTTGCATCAATCAGTACGAATTTGAAACAAGCTTTTCTTTCGGCCTTAATTACCACGACTACCCAACAGAAGGAGGTTGCCGAGCAAGCGGCGAATGTAGTCGCGGCCGATAACATGGAACTCGCGTGTGCATTCGTACAAAAGACTGCCATTGAGAAGGCGATACCCGAAATGGACAAACGCTTACTGAACGAGATAGAATTACGTAAAATAGCTCGACAAGAAGGACGAAGATATTGCGATCCTATTATCAAGTATCAAGCTGAAAGAATGCCAGAGCAGATTAGGCTGAAGGTCGGAGGTGTAACGCCCCAACAAATGGCGGTTTATGAAGAATTTTCTAGAAATATTCCAGGATTCCAACCGCTTTCCGAGAGGGATACACAAGCGCTCTTTATGCCTAAACCTATTTCTGTAAGAAATATATTATTTTCTTTTTCAATGTGATTATATACTCGAAAAATTGTCGATAGAATTCTGATTATTTATTCACGTTTCAATTGTTTTGCTTATTTTCAAAGGAAACTCCCGTTACCGCGTTTACGCCCAACTCAGCCGTGACCGTCGCGGCGGCACAGCAGGTGGTGGCTTACGCAGCGGCAGCGGTTAGCAACGACGAAGTAGGTACTATGCTGGAGAAGCTTGCTGGTGAAGTGGAACTGCTATTAGCTGCTATGGGACCGGCCGCACCGCCTCAGCAAATTACTGCTCTTCACAGTCTTTTGGAATCGATTATTCTCACGAGAAGATCAAGAGACACTGGCGCTGCTATGACATTGTTAAAAAAGGTAAGGGAGTTACTTTTAAAATTTGCACGTGTTCAAATTGAGGATCAAAACACGATTACTATGTTTTTTAGGCTGTCGAGGGTCTTCTAGATGGACCTCTCATTTCCAGCAGCGTCATCGAATCGGAGAATCTCATACAGCGCTACAGAGAAGTGCATCTACGTATTTTGAAATGTCTTCAAGATCCGCGCGTATACGGTATGCAATGGACCAATAAGCACGTGACTCGTTGTCTAACCGAATGCAGAGAAGAATATCGCTACAACTTCGAAGCCGTGGATTATCTCATAAGGTGCAATATTGATTCACCCTGCAAATTGTATTACTGCTTAAGGATGTTATTAATTAACGATAGTGTGACTCTTCAGGTCTCATTTGATAAGTTTGCCGCAGTATGATGCGGCTTTAGCGCAGGCTATAGAAACAGGAAGCGCTATGGCAACGGCATTCGCTATGCAATTAGTTCAGCTGTATCTAATTGATGAGAGACAGGCGACTCATGTTACCGAAACCGACTTGTTTCATACTATTGAAACGTTAGCTCGAATGGCTCATCACAGAACACCACCAGAAGGGTATTGATATGCGTATTCATTTTTCTTTGTTTTTTAAATAAGTGATACTTAACGTGACTTGCAGATAACAAATGTGTTAATTAATTCCATTTGTACTCAGATTATCTCATACATGCCTTCACTTCGTTGGATCAAGAAGTAAATATTTTACGTAACTCGTAACTTATTTCTGCAGATATTTCTTTTCTATTCGCATATTCAGATTTCGCTGATTCTATGATTTATAATACAGAAATATCGAGAAATGAAGCAAGAAGTTACGTAAAATGTTCAGTAACTCCCTTGATCTCTTTGGATGGAAGATACGTGAGAAAATGCGTATAATTTGTATATATTTGTATACATATTTAATACTTGACTTATCGAATTTTCTGTCTTTCGATGTGTTTCTTCTTCAACACATATAAAGATCTTTTTTTACATCCACAAATATATTATTTGCAAACTTAGGTTTTTTTATTTTTTATTTTGTGCTTGTGTTCTCTTTCTTTTTTTTTTTTTTTTTTTTTTTTT